CTTTTTGTCAGCCAGTACTTTGTGCTTTCCATTTTAGCAACACTCATTGCCAAAGAGCAATTTCACTTGTAGATCCTCCTCCTATCTCCTGCTGAGTTAAACTTCTCGGTCTGTTTCTGATCCATCCCTTTCCCTCTTCTTTAGAGACCATGGGATCTGAACTTTGAACAAATCTTTTCCCATTTGCCTCTTTGCGTGGTTAAAAGCCACCAGAATTTCTGGTTTATAGAGGTTCACCTACCACAAGTCTACCCTCAGATTACTACCAGTGTGAAATTACAAATTGCTCTTTGAAGTAAAAGTTGAGTGTTTGTACACCAATGTTAAGTATGCTGTTGTTTTACAGTTCAGTACTCTGTCAACCGTGTTAGGGTAAAATTCATGTCCCATGAAATTCCAAGCCTGTCCTGTGCATGTGGGCTTACAATCACAGTGTAGCCTTAGCAAAGGCATTACTATATCCCATGTGTGTAATTTAAGGAGAAATCCACTGAATCTTCTTGTCTCAGAAGTTGCGGGGAGATGGGATTAGCCAGAAAGTAATCTGGTCCTAATAGAATGAGATCTGCTGTCACACCTGATCTCACATTTGTGCTACCAGAGCTCAAAGACAGTTTTCCACCAGCTGCTTTTGGGCCAGGATTTCTCTCAGTAGTGTGACAAGGTTATCCATCATCAGTTCATTTCTGGGTTTATATGGTCATCCTTCATGAGATACAAAGATACTCTCTTGGTGCAGTCATTGGAGAAATGTCCCATGCTACTGCTTTCCTTTTAGTTGACTCCTGAAGATACCCGGTTTGTCTTTTTGTATGCTCTGCTTTCTGTCAGCGTCAGGAGATCACCACTGACAGGACACCTTGTGAGAAGCAGAACCTCAACACCAGGTAACTTCTGCTTCTGCAGAGTGGAACACAGACAGTTTACTCATCAGGATACAAATTTCTCTTATCTAGAGGGCAAGTACAGTGACTGTGGTCTGTTTCCACCATGCAGCCCTATCAGTACTGTTACATGTCACTTAAAGACATTGCTAATCCCTGGTACTACTTTTTTTCAGAGCTGCCAACTAAGCTTTTTCTATGATCATTTGCTAATCCGTTTAAATCAAAATGAGGTGAGTTACTATAAACAACTCCAGTAGCAGGTATACACCACTGCAGCTCACCTCAGCAGAATGTGTTAGAGAAACTGTGTGAGTTAGGTGGAGATACAGTCAGGATGAATTCGTATGTCCTGGAGATAGACGCTTCTGCCTCAGCTGCCCATTAACTTCCTGATATCTCTGATTCCCTCCTCAGCCCTTTGTGGGATGATCGAAATTGTGAAGGCTGCCTTCAAATTGCCTTCCTCAGCAAAGCAGCTCTTCAGAGGAGGAGCAGTTACATTTCACTGAGTCTGTGCTGCCTTGGTTGAGTTTTAAGATGATGTGCAATGAGAAGGTGGAGATGTGCAACAAGAAGGTGGAGACGTGCAATGAGAAGGTGGAGATGTGCAGAAGACAAGGACTTAAAAAGCTTTGTGTACAAAGAATGTGTCTGTGCTATTTGCTACCACCACATGTAGTCTAGACTTTGACAATGGAGCATCAAGCTCCATTTCCAGAGAAATACAGTGTCCTGTCCTTTTCTTCTGTATTTTCAGAAACCAGCTGAGCAAGAGTTGCTGGCTCTCAAAAGCTATACCAACAGGTAAACCAAATCCTCTGGCATATCTTCAGAGGACCATTACTTGACATGAGATTGGATCAGTCAATTTGAAGGTGTATGACTTTCAAAAGGCACTGTTGAGCAACATGTGCTTGCCTGCAGCCTGCTTTGAGAGGGGGATTTGAATGAACCATGGCTTCACAGGACAATAAAGCTGGTTTTAGTGCACCTAGGACTGAGTCAAACCAGAGCAGACTCATGATGCTAAGCAGGGCTTTATTCGAGTTCACTCTGCCAGACCAAATGTATTATTACTAACATTTTGCTATGCTGAACATAGCATGTCTTCCTGCAGCGGGCAGAAACACCCCATCACGTGTTCAAGCTAATGCAACAGGAGTAGGTCATGAGGGTCAAATATGTGCTGCCAGGTAAGCTGAGATCAGTGAATTTAGAGCCTGATGGTTGTTAGTGACAAGTGGGAAATTGTCTCCTGTGACTGTTGACCATATTACTGCTGTCCACTTCAACCTGGAAATGCTTTGTGGCTGCCTGTGCTGTTCAGGAATTAAGGCTAACAGACCAGCTATCCATTCCTGTGATAAACCTAGGATATTCACCCTACAAAATGGTGTTATCATACTATAGCTTTGGAAACACGGAACTGAATTTCATTAAGTCCTTTAGTTATGCTGATCTGTTTCTTTGCAGCAGTGAGCAAATACCTGTTATTTCTGGTTTTCTCTGTAAAATTGCAAGTATTTCCTTCAAAATAGTCTGTTGTGAAATGTCCCAGACTAAATGTCCCACTTTTTAATCAGAGTCCTTAGTTGGACTTTATACCTAATCTGCTATAACTAGGGTTTGTGTGGAAAAGCACTTCCACTGCTGGCTGCATATTCCCTATTCTCCCCTTGCAGTGGATCTAGCCAGCACGTGACAGTAGAAACCAAATCAGTTTTCCTTTCAGATCAACCTCTTGAACTGATCTGCATGATCAGTAGATCTCCTGAGGGCTGGCAGAGTCAAGCACTACCTGAGGCTTTGCCTGCAGTTGTTCTCAATTAGAGGAATAATCAAGATGCTCTTACTTTGAACATTTTAGTTCAGGAGTTTGTGACTTAGTGGAGGAAAACATTCCTGCTTCTGTATCCCAGCCCATTAGACCTGGCTGCTGCTTTATTTTTCATAATTATTTGGTAAATTAGTTGCTATTAAAATAATGAAACTTTGTGTTATTTACCATTTTTCTCATGTTATTAAGCTGTAATTTGACCAACAGATACGAGCATAATTTACCCTATGATTGCTCAACTTTTAATATGTGCTTCTGCAGTGAGTAACAGCTATAAAAAGAAGTGGTTTGCCCTGTAAAGTGACATGATGTCATAATATTTCTTTGAAAATCTAAAATTAAGTCTCATTAAATCCTATAATTATGTAGCTATAGGTTATCTTTGGAACTTAAGAGATGGAGTTGGGTAGCTTGAGTCTTTCTTTCTGTAGTATTCCAAGAACTCTGTCAGTATTGTACAAGAGCACCATCATGCTTTGCAAGAACACAAGAGAGATTTCCCCTATGCTGTATTTCAGTGTCATTCACTTCCTTTGTTCCCTTTTCTTTCCAAGAACTAAGGTTTTCCAACAGCTTTGTAATAGCAAGCAAACAACTGCTATGTTTCAGGAGTGTGTATTCTTGAAATAATGAACCCAATTTATCTATATTTAGTGCCTATGTTTCTGGTTGTTTAGAAAGATGCTCTGTAGAACCTGATAACTCACAACTGTCTCTGTCATAAATGATTTACAGAAGTATGCTCTGAAGTATGCCTGCAGACGAACTGATTCAGTTGCAAATATTTAGGCGTTTTTGGCCTTTAAAACCTCTTATATGCTGGGTATGTCTGTTTGACTCAGCACTGAAAGGATGTGCATTTTATAGATGCTATTGGAAGATTGGTTGTAAGCTATTAGGGTTTTTTTGCTTTAGGCAAATATTTAGAGCTCTCGGGTTTTTCCTTGTCAAACTTGCTTTAAAGGTTTGATTATTTTCTGTTTCTTTTCAATCTTGTTCTAAAATAAAGTGTTGCTTTCTCCCTTGTGAGTCTAACCTGAGTTGTGGTACTTCTACTTTCTGTTACTTTATAAGGCACAAGATGTTTCCGTAATTGTGTTTCCTGGCATTTTATTGTCATAGATTTACCTGGCAAAGTTAAGTTTCACCACCAGGTTTATAGCTTGCATCTAACACTGTGGGGCCTTTTCATGTTGGATTCAATTTTGCAGTGTTGAACAACTTCTACTTGGTATTTGTAACCAGTTGTTACAAGTATACAAGAAGCTTAAAACAAAATGTTGAATCTATGTATTTCCTAACTTTATCATAGGATTATTTGCTATTGGCATGTGTATAATAGATTTTTCCAGTGCTATATATTATTTTAATGTGGTTTTTAGAACACACTATTTAAAGATTATAGTGTTTTAAGATTGACTGCTTTTAGGTTAGAGGGATGTATAACAACACTGTGAATAGGTGATTCTCTGATTCTGTGACATTACAATAAATATTGTGATGAATATAGTGAAATAAATGGTTTGTGCCATCTACTGGTCTGGATAGGATCTGCATTTCAGTTCAGAGCCTGACTTGTGTCTTTAAAATGTAGATACTGTGTGATAAAAGAAGGAAACTCACCATAAATAGCATGTATTTTATTATTCTGTCTTCTCTGTATTAAGTGCTAAATAGCAGTAAACACGGTAATGGAAAGTTTGAATTAGTACATGAATCCTTTTCCCACCCCTGCCTTCCCAACCATGCCAGGCAACTTCTTTATGCCAGTTCTCATAGAGACTGGAAATGTTTCTTACAGGCGGGTCAGTTGTATTCTAACAGAATTTAATGGCCAAAGTTGCTGGTGTGGAGCGGGCTGTGCTGTGCATGTGAACATGGTTTGTCTAGACATGTTAGAGGAAGTCAGATCTTTCTATACTAATCATAATTACAATATATTCCATTCTCACTTTTATTTGTAATAGAGTATTTAAACCCCCCACATTCTCCCTTATGGATTTTCTCTGATGTTTATGTCAGTGGTAAGCCTGTCAGGATGGGGAGACCTTCACTACAGCACAGTGCAGTGTTACATAAGGCCTTTTAGCTGAAACCTCTTTGTATCCTACAGCCTAATAATAGGCTATTGTGTTTCCTGTGATTTTTATAAAGCTCAGATGCCACATTCAATTCTTACTTGTTTCATTATCATCAGGGTTATCACTCTGTGTAATACTTCTTGTGTACATTCTGGTTATAAATATCACTCTGCAATGAGCTTTGTTCCTTTCATTGTTGGTTTTTACTTATTTATCTCTCAAGGGCATAAACAGGGGATCCACAGATGCTCCAGTGTCCCTCTAGTTATGGTTCTGTACAAAGGGAGTCAATCCAAGAAAGAATTAGTGGTAAGTAAACCCCCAAACTTTACAAATCAGATAATTATATGCTTCAGTATCATGTTCAGGGGTCCAGATAGTCACTTGCTTACATGAGCAAAGACTCACTTTCAGATGGAGTGTAGCCTGGAAATGTGGAAGCCCTGGGTCTGCTTCTAGTAAAACACTTCCCTTCATATTGCTTCAGTTTGCCCTGTCCATAAGATATGTGTTTACCTCACTTGCAAACAGCTTTTAGCTTTGTTGATTAAAAAATACTGTGTAACCAGCAAATAATATATTTCACAGCTGGTTTTGGTACAAATTATAGTTGATCTAACTGCACTAATTTGAAAAGTTGGAGGGGCAGAAGATTCAAATCCTTCAAGTTCTAGTTAATAGATGCATATCTATGTATTAATAGAAACACATTACCTGCTACAAACACAGGAACAAAAATTACACAGTAAATCAGTTGATGTTAGATTGCACTTTAAAGCCTAAATAGCAATTTAAGCAAAAATAGTATTGATTTCAGCAGGGCAGGATTTTATCTAAGCATGGAAATGTGGATTGAATGCTGTGATGGAGAAAGGTATTAAAATATTCAGCTTTTCCATTTTTGCTTTCTTGCAGGTGGATGCCCAAAAGAGTCATCTTTGCTTCTTTGTGACAGATTGCTCTGCCTGGGAAAATGAACTACAGCAAGTGCACAGTTAACATGAATTTTCATGGGGGGAAAACAAAACAGGTAATTGTTGTGACATTATAGCTACTATAATCAGAGCAATGACTCATTCAAGTGTATAATTGCCCATGTAACTTGTTTCAAGTCAGTTGGGTTCCAACATTCTCGTTTCTATGTACAACTCTTCTTGTCTTTGTATATTTTCCCTTCAAAGTCCACTGCAATTTGCTAGTAAGGATATTAGATATGTTAGGGGAGAAGATATCAAATTGTATCTAAGAGCCTGAGAGAGGCAAGAATGCTGCAGCTCCATGGCCCCAACTCCAAGCAGTAGCAGGGCTGACACTGCATTTCTGTCACGAAACTCCTAATTCCTACCTTCCTTCTTATCCCCTCTTTAATGGCTTTTCTTAATACTCTTCTCCTTTTTGTAATACATAAAAGACTATAAATCTGGGTTAGATTCACTGCACTGAGAAGTATTACAGACAGCAGTTTGGGCAGAAATCTCCATCTAACCTACTTTGTATTGCTGGAAGAGAAGAATGTGCTTTTTTCTCTGGGCAAGTTCAAACCCACTTCCTAGTTTTGAAGCAAACTTTCACCTTCTTTAACATACTAAACATGCTTGTCTGCGATCTCTGCAGTTATATTGGAGCAGAGGAAGAATCAAGATGCTTTAACTATGAACATTTTAGTTCAGGAGTTCTTGGCTTAGTGCAGCAAACTGGGAGAAAACATCTATAGGTGATCCAAAATGTGCAGGTTTATACAAACCTTCTCTTGTAGATACAAGAAAATCACAATTATTTGCAAGTAGTGGTTTTCAACATACTTACACAAGGGTGTTGCTGGCCTGAGTTTCAAAGGGCGTGCAGCTCAGTCTAATTCTGTGGATTTACACATACCTGCACAGTACACGTGCACCTATTCATTGCAAGAAAAGACCCTCTAGTTTAACAGGAACCATTCTTTACCTAGTTTCCAGTGAACTCATGTCAGATGGAGAGTGCTTTTTCACTAGTTATTGTGTTTCTTCTTCCTAAATTACAAAAGTATTTTCTGTTCCTCCACATTTCAGTCTTGCTGTCATGGAAGAGACGGCTGTGTGGAGACCTCAGAGCAGCCTTCCAGTATCTGAAGGGGGCCTACAAAGGTGCTGGAGAGGGACTCTTCACTAGGGACTGTAGTGATAGGACAAGAGGTAATGGGTTAAAACTTAAACAGGGGAAGTTTAGATTGGATATAAGGAAGAAGTTTTTTACTGACAGGGCCAGCTGCTAACATCTTTGCGGTAGGACCTGGGCTCCTTCCAGTCCAGGCATGACTGAGTTGCACTGTCTGAACACTAAATAACTATAGGTAGGATGCTTCTAGCAAGTCCATCCATTTCAAGACAATGTGTTAGTAAATGTATTGCTTTTGTATTGCTTTTATGTTCACATTTAACTCTACCATCATGTCCTTGTTTTCTGATGGCATCTTTTACTTCATTGTTTCAGTGATGGGTCTTCCTTTTTTAGCAAAGGGATGTAAAAGTGGTACCTGTCTGTAGACAGGCTTTGATACAGGAACTGGCAGGTTCTCATTAATCCCAGCAGCAGGGTCCCAAGGTCTGCTACTGCTGTAAAAACATCTGCAGAAGGATTCCTGACACATAGCAGGCTTTCTTTTTGTTGAGACAAGAAAAGAAGCAACAACTGCCAATTCCTGCCCCAGATATGTCAGCACACAGCTTATTTTGTATTGGCGGGGTATCCAGTGGTGCTGGGGAGGTACTCAAGGATGCTGGAGTGGGACTTTTCATCAGGGACTGTAGTGATAGGACAAGGGGCGATGGGCTCAAATTTAAACAGGGGAAGTTCAGGTTAGGTATAAGGAAGAAGTTCTTTACTGTAAGGGTGGTGAGGTACTGGAATGGATTGCCAAGGGAGGCTGTGAATGCTCCATCCCTGGCACTGTTCAAGGCCAGGTTGGACAGAGCCTCGGGTGACATGGTTTAGTGTGAGGTGTCCCTGCCCACAGCACAGGGGGTTGGAACTGGATGATCTTAAGGTCCTTTCCAACCCAAACCATTCTGTGGTTCTGTAAAGGTGACTAGCATGATGAAGGCCAGCTAGGATACTGCAGAAGGCTATGAAGAGCCAGTTACAGTGGATCTTAATACGTCCTATCATTTAGTGACAAGGTTAAAAGACAAGTTAAGTGCTCTTTGGGAGGAGAGGTTATAGGATAATACTGGTGTAAGAATTAATCATAGAATCTAAGAATTAATCTCAGAATTAATCATAGAAATCAGTGTCAGTGGAAAAATATGCCCTTAGAACAGCATCAGCTGTGAGTGCAGACTTCCTGAGGCTATAGGGCCTCTGAGGATCAGTAAAACAGAGAAAAGGGAGCTATGCTCCCACCTCACATGGTGGTGCAGTGTAATGGCCAACCACCAAATACTGGACCAGATTTCAGAAAGGGGATCAAACAGATGGAGGTGCTCCTGGTTTTGCGTTGGTGAGAGCACTCAAAGGCAGAGAGTAGTTCTGGGCTTTATGGGAATGCTTTGTTTTGGGAGAGTCCATTAATTATTGTGGATCACTAATAAATAGGGAAGTTGTTCTGGAAGCAATGGTTCCACCATGGACATAACCATCTGGGCTTCGGTAGGTGCTGTTCATCCTAAGGGAGTTCTGCTGACCAGAGAAGGGATGGTAGAGCCTCGGATTCCAAGAAGTCTTGTGCTGTTGTTCCCTGTGAGTAAAATATTCACTGCTGTACTGAAATCAAATGGAGTTAATCTCTTGGGATTGTGTTTTGTATCTGAAAGCACAGTGGATGTGGTAAGGCAATAAAATGTGTTATATTTCTACTGTCATTAAACCTAAGCATTACAATGGCTGAGTCTCTAGGGTCTAACAAGCTAGGGACAGCCTCCCCAAATCTTGCATCAAACCCTTCTCAGTCTCATGTCTTCCTTGAGATTGTGCATATTAAGAGGGAAACTTCCCCAACCCACTGCATGAAACCTGTGTTTTGTGTGTTTTACCACCTTCTGTACTGACTGCGCAGCCCTGCCCTTACCAGCAGTCCAAAAAAGTGATCCCAAGCTCCTCCTTTGACCTCATGGCTTCTGGTACTGCTTTTACAGCCAGGTCCTTCACATACCTGGGATGTTCCAGGACAACAGGGAGCAGATGGCTGGATTTTAAAGCCCAGCTAACTCAGAGACAGGCTGCTTGCTGCTCCTACAAGCTAAAAGGAGCTTAGCACATGGTCCAGCCCTTTGAGGAAGGCTCATGTTAGAAGGGAAGAGAAGGAAAGGGAAAGGGTAATAAAGGAATGAGCATTGTTCAAAGCTGGCATCTGATTCTCCTAGTTTTGATTTCAGAGCACAGCAGACTGCATGGTCTGAACAGTGGGTGCAGCCCTGCTGTTCCCATGGCTCTGCCCCTCTTCTGCCTCCCCTCTGTGTATGGGGGCCTAATAACACAACCAAGCAGACACTGCCTGCTCTCCTTGGGGGTCTGACAGGATAGTGAGTAGGAGCTGGATCTTCCACATACCAAAAGCAAAGGTTGGGTGGTAGGAAAGGAACAAATGTGTGTATCCTTAGGGACAAGTGCGTGTATCCTTCCTTCTAAAGTTGTCTTAAAACATGGAGGGTTATGAAGAAACAGATTTGTGGATTTAAGACATTTCTGCTCCCTTCAGCACATGGCTCTATATTTGGGGCCCTAATTTGCAAAATCAATCACAGATCCACATGTGCCAGTTAAGGGAAGAGATTTGACTCCAAAGATGCACGTTCTCAGCATGCTCTGTGATTATGACAAAGTATCTGGCAAAGAGCTCGAATCTCCTTGGTTTATAGGAACTGCAACACAAATCTCACGGGAAGCTGGATCAGGGTCTCATTTATTTGCAGCAGGAACTGTGCAGCAAAGCCCCTCCCACGTTTCATCTCCTATTGGAATTCTTTCTCTTTTTGTCTTATGGACTTTCCTCGTCCTCCGGTTGTAACCGTGTGCTGGGAGCACCGAGGGCTGCTGGAATGCACATGAACACGGCACAAAGACAGGGGCTGCACTGTGGAAAGGTCAGGCCAGCCTGTGGCACACAATGAGGAGCAGGCTGGGCAATGGAAATTTACAGCCCTTTAGCTGGGCTGCAGATCCCTTCTCCTGCAAGAACCGCTCCGCTCCTTCGGAAACATGATACCTGCTGAAGAGATTCAGTGTAGGAAAGACTGTGGTTGCAAGAGGCTGTATTTATTTGAGGAGAGGAGGAGAGTTTGGGGTTATCTACCAGATCCTTTTGGTAAAGGAAACTTGCTTTAATCACCCCAATCTAAATCTACTCCTTACAGCATCAGAATCTGCAAACATTTGTGGTTTACCACTGTTTGTTCACTGAAAACTGGCATGATTTTAAGCACGATAATTCTGCAGACAAATGATAGCACAATGAAAAAAGTGATCTACAGAAGCAGGAATGGGCTTTGTGAAGAGCTGGCTCCAGTCTTTATTCCTTTATGATGTATTGTATTGGAGCGTACATAGGCAGTTATGCAAGAACATTTGCTTGTAGCTGTTTGTGTTTCATAAGGCTATGGAGTGGTGAACGCTAGTGTAAACCACTCATTCATCCACAAGCAAGGGCTGTTTGTCAAACAGCTTCGCTTACTGTACATGATATGGAATTCCTCTTTCTCCTCACACTAACTGCTCTTAGGAGGCACCCGTTCAATGCTGCTGAGTTTATTCCTGCATGACATTCTGGTAAGCACTATGGCAAGATGTGGGTGAAGGGTCATGACAACAGGCCAGCTATTTAGCAGAGATTCTCTGTAAACAAATCACTGAATTGTTTGACCAGTGTGAAGTAATAATTCCCCAATGCGTTCTGAATGAATGAGCTCCAAAGCAGTTGCATTAATCAGTGGGAACCTCCAAAATGAAAAGGAAGTATAGAAAGAAAACCCTGTGAAAGGCATGTTACAGTTGGAGCTGGAGCTGTGGGTCATTTAGCAGGTTTGGGGGCTGGCTCTTTGGAAAGGATGGGGTTCTCCTTACTGTAAACTGACTGTTGTTGCCTATATTTCAGTAGTGCCTTAAGGCTGAACTCTCATTCTAACAGGTCTTGCCCTGTGACAAGCATATTTTTCTGTCATGAAATGTATGCACTTTAATGAATACAATGTCCTTACTCCCATTTTGAGTGTGAGGAACTAAGGGTCAGACACACCAAGTGACTTGTAATCAGCATCATGAAGGGGTCTGATAGAAGCAAGCTCTGGGCTTTGCTCTGGTTCTTCAGCTGCAAGACCCTGTGCTTCCCTGCCCCTCTTCCTCTAGTTGGAAATGGTCATCCACAGCCATGCCATGTAGCTCAGAGGTGTAACTGCTGCGTGGGGTGCACAGATGCTAGACATTTCTCACCGCATCTATACCTCTATACCCTCTATACAGCTATGCCTGCAGAAAATCAACCTGGAAAGTTACTTCCAGTGGAGAAAGACCTGATGGCATAGACTGAGCTCTTTATTTAGATGACTTAGTAGTGAAGGGTTACATTTATCTATCCTTTTTCTTATTCTATCATTTGGCTTCTTCAGAAACACTTTCAAAGTGTTCACAAAATGGAGCTTTTGCCATAGTCAATACCAAAGACCTTCCTGCAAAGTATGTTAATTTAATTCCTGATAAATGTAGCTTTTCCTCTTTGCACACCTTGTAATGATCCATATGGTTCTTTAGCAAATACACAAGCTTAACCCACCCACCCCAATCTGTTCTCCCAGTGATGAATCTCTGCTAATTTACAGAGGCAGTGATAAGACATGGAAGGGATCAGGAACTTGCTGATCTTGGGAGCCCTGGGAGCCCTAAACCAGCAGTAATCTGTACTTTCATGAACCTGAAAGTGGTGTGGCTGTTGTGCTTACATACACCCAATAATATTGACATATTTTATGGTGGTTTTAAATACCTGCATCTTTGTAGAAACTCTCTTACTAAAAAAGATAAGAGTTGGAGCAATCCAAAGTTTCAGTCAGACGGAGCACTTTGTCAGTTCAGAGTGATTTTAAAGTACAGGGCAACCACTATGGTTATAAGTCTGTGTAAAGTACATCTCTGAGGACTAAACTGTGATGCAGCAGACACAATTCAAACTACAGCAGTCTAAGTTATCACCACAGATGTGATTTACAGTGCTGAGCAGAGTAAGCTGATAGCAGACATTAAATTAAACCATATAGACAAGCTTTGGGAATATACTCCATAAATGTCTTGCAAACTATTGAAAAGTAGCATTTATCACTTGCTACTGTTTTACACCCCACTGCTTTGTGAGAAGCAGTGTGTTACTACTGAATCTAGGAAAGAATTACTTGACTCACTAATGACATCCTTATGCAATAACTGCCCCATTTCAAGCATGACTTCAATGCCTTTATACAATGCTTCTAATCTGCTGTTTACACAGACAGACAGCTTTAGACAGACCAGTTCAGGCTACTTTAAATGGCTACCCAGCTTTGTGGTAAAGGGAGCAAGAGAACTTTTAGACATCAATCCAGCTCCAGGCTTCTATATTCATGATCTGTGCTACCTGTGATTCTTGGCCTTAGGTCTTCCTCTTGAACTGCTCCATAAAATACCCCAGTGGTAAAGTCTGTGAGTGACCACCAGCTGATCAAGTGGAAAAAGTTGAAACCAACTTCGCAGTCTTGTTTCTGACCATTTGAATGCATCCTGCCTGCTTGTCATGAGCTCTATCCCCTTATCAGTGAGACAGATAAAAGTATTCTGAACTCAATCTCTGTCCCCATTTACTTAGATAAATATCTAATCATACACTTTTCCATGAAGGCTGAAGTAAAGACAACATTTAACACTTCATTGTGAAGCCTCAGTACAGCAGGGAAGTGTGCTATCTGAGAAACCCACAGGGCAAAAAATTCCAGGTGATACTGAAACATGCTGCTTAGCCGAATGCACAGCTCCCATCAATAAAGGTAGATGGGAGAATGATCTTTTGGTGCTCTTTAGAACCTTGGACAAGCTCTGAGAATGTTTGAAGGCAAAGTCTGTTTCTTAAAGCTTAAACAGTGCCAGATACCTTCAAGACAACACAAGAAATAAGCAGCATGCTAATGAGTGTGACTTCCCTGGTTCTGAGCAGGCTCTGCATGCTGCCAGACACCATTTGTGACCTGTGTCACGACTGTGTCAATGGGGCTTCAGTTGCCAATATTAGCACAGGCTGCTCTCGGAGTAACTTGGATACTATCTGTGTACATGAGGTTGTTTAGTGTGAGCCTGGCAGAGTGGTAACGACTCGCAGGGGTTTGTTTGTTTGTTTAGCTTTCCTTGGGATGGCAGAAGGTCATCCCTAGTAGTAACACTGCTGCTGCAGTTCACTTTACAACACTGTTTTGGCTATGGATTTTACTTAAAACCCATTCCTGGCCTATAAACAGCCACAGGTGAAAAAATGTAACATACTGGTGCTGATTAGGAGTGCTCTGTGACCTACTTGGGAGAGGTGGAAGGGATTCACCACCAGTCTCAGCTGGAAACTGTAAAGACTGTGTTGAATTTATCTCCATAGTCAGTTATCTTCATAGTCAGAAATCTTGCATAGGGTAACAGATTGTCTGGAGGTAAAAAACTGTATGTATTTGGATGGAAGACTTCCAGCCTTTTAAACTGGATCCCCACCTGAGGATAACCCACACTTTGTACATTCTTACATATTACTGTATCAGGAGCTAATAAGTGTGATTTCATTTGAGTCAAAAATGAATACTTAACTCCAACTGTTTTTAAACAGTTAGTATATGTGCACTTGGAGCCAGGAACCTTGTAAACCAATGCAGATGTCTTGCTGTGTGATCACGTTTCAGGTTTATCTTCTTCCCTACCTACATCTCCTTAGTGCTTTAAGGATTTTAACACAGCAATATGAAAGACCCTGAAATTGAAAGTTGTTTCATAATCTTTGTGCTTCCTATAATAATATTGGTACACTATACTGGTAGCATACTAATGTAGTATTATGTTACAATACAATAGATTGTCCACTGGGCCTATTATGTCACAGTGTCTCCCATAATATTCTAAATGCCCTCAACCTCTGCACTCAGCACTGTGGTGACAGCAGGGCAGTGAAGGAGTTAGAGCAAGACTGGACATGCTCTGCATTGATAAACCCAACACAAAGGAAGAGACAGTAGCTCGGTTAACTCTGCATGGCACTATGATGGGTCTGGGAAGCAGCAAAGCCTGGATTTCCTTTAGGTTTCTGGCTCTTCTTTAACTGTCAGTGCCAGCTGAAGCCTTTCTGTTAATTGTAGTATTTGGTACCCACACATCTATGGAGTTTGATGTTTGTATTGCATGCCAGCTTTTAATGAACCTAAAAACGGCTGCATCACAATACAGTCACACAGGATTAAAGTCAGGTTTTGTATTATTTATTGTTAGAGGACACCACAAAACGTTGTACTTGGATTTATAAAGAAATCCAAGCGGCTACCTGTGCGGCTGCGCTGCCCCTCTCTTTTCAGCACAGGGCTGGTGTTCTGCAGCTCTCCAGTGTTCTCAGACATAGAGTAGCACAACATCCTCTGAGCAAATGCTTTAATAGGCAGGGAATCTGGTCCCTGCATTTTAACAGAGCTGGCTGACCGACCCATGTCATCTTCTGTTGAGATTACTCATGCTTTTGGCAGAGTTCTCCTGAGCTGGCCATAAGGCAGGTGCAAATTAACACTGTAAAGTATTAACTTCAGCTCATTTTGTGACTGAAAAGCTGGACAGCCTTAATCTGAGCTCATGTCCATGTCCTTGCCTGAAATGGTTTTGAGTTTGAGGTTAATAATGTGTATATTTTGAAAGCACTGGATTGAAAGCACAATTATTGCAGCATTTTTATACCCGCATTGAAAATGGATCCCGTCACTTTGAAAAGAGAAAAACCTCTCACACCAAGGGATGTGACCCTAGAACGTGTATTTGTGTGTAGTCAGATCCAAGTAAAATTCAATCCAAAGGGGCAACAGCCCAGGATGAAACCTGATGCTAATTGTACATAAATAGCAGACGGACTGTCTTATGACAGGCTGTAATCAATAAACATGCCTGTTGTGTCAAATCTGCATGTCAGGTATCCTTACTGGGACAAAGTGTTGGGCTGTTGTGTACACCTGGTGTCTCCTGGCTCTGCTGGTGATTTAGTGTTGTTATGGAGTTATTCCTCACAGAGAATTAGTTTCTAGTTCTTTCCACCAAACCAAAGATCTGGACTGAGCAAATGAATTAAACACTGTTACGCAGATGCAACACACTGTATATATATATACATATATATATATATAGCTTTGCTCAAATAATTTATGTGCAGAAGTGCATTCTTTGAACAAACCTTCCCCCCCCCCAATAAGAAACTGAGGATCTTTTGTTTTGTCCAATTGGTACTCATTAGAACACTTTATAAACCTGGGGTTAACCTTGGTAGATACCATTCATGCTTCTTTTCTCTGCACAATGTTACATGTCCAGAATTGTTCCAAAGGCCACATGAGTTTAGTAGATAAGATTTTTCTTCAACAGGGAGCAGTTTGGTGCTTTTTGTGATCACATCGCCAATACTACTTTAGGAATTTATTTGGTGGGTTTGGTATATACCAATTTCTTATTGTTTGTAGCCTCAATTTCTTGTAGCCCTAATACTAGAACTGCTTCTGGAACTTAATATGTAGATATTATCTTTTTTTATTAAAAAGGTGTTAAGCTATAAGACGACCAGCATGGGAAAGAAGTAGTATTTGTGGTGGCTCCAAAGAAAACAGGAGAACAAGAGTTAAAAGGAAAGGTATGTTAATGGCTATGGAATGCCAGATGTGTGATTTCATTCAAATGAAGAGGAGGAACTGACCTAAAGAAAAGGTGCCAAGAAGATGGGGAATTGAACTAGAGCCATAAAACATTCTGATAAAGAAAAGCTGGTGCTTGTGGATGTATGAGAGTATGAGTGAGTAAAGTCTGTGTAGTCAGAGATTATTTTTATTAATAAATGCTATCTTCCTTTTTATAAGATCTCATAAACAATTTTGCTACCCTTCCTGGCATGTAAGAGGTCTTACAAATTGTCTGTTGTTATATATTTACCATATGAGCACATGTGTTTCTGTGGCTTGCAGGTAGAGAAGCACTTGCTGGTAGTTGGTACAAAATCAGCCAGTCACCTTGCTTTGGTTTCTTCTAGCATGCTAAGAGAAGCTGCTTCTCTACATCATATCACTTTACCACTGGATGAACCAGAGATGTTGGCTCAGGAACTCTGAAGAACCTCAAATGCCTGCATGCAGGTTTAGAAGTGGCTTAGGATGCAAGCTCTATTAAGAGGTGCTCCCCCATATACTAATTACTAACACTGCTCTACTCTGACTTTGGAGGATGCTTTTTGCATACTATGAGTTTGGGGATTGCTGTACATATCCAGTTCTCAGCTGACATCTAGGTTTGCATCCACTTCTGGCAGTAGGCAAAAGTCATCAGTAATCAGTCTTGAGGTAGTGTAGGAGCTAATGTATTGTTCTCTCAGAATATCCTATATTTTTCCCCTTTTCCCTGGTCTTGTTTTCCCCTTTTTCATGAGTGCCAGGTGAGGTTCATTCAAAACAGAGCACTGATGAGGGTCCCAGAGACCTGTAGCAGCTGCAGCGGCCCTTTGGCACTTTTGAGGAGGGTATAAATAAGGTTTGGAGGGTACAAATAAAGCTTGAAGGGTACTCTGATTTGGGCCAGGCAAGAAGTTATCTGGGATTGCAGGAATCCTTAGGGATTATCCAGCTAAATGTCTAGTTATTTGAGAAAAGCTTTTGTTCTCATTTATACCACCAGTTATAATTTTGCCTGCCAAGTCCCTTATTTAAGACTGAATTTACTATAATTTCTATATTAGATCTGGTTTCCATTTGAAATCATAAAGTACCAAAAGCAGTAATTTTCTTCCCTCTTTTATTCCAGGCAGTGCTGCAGTCTCTTCCCTGGCCCTCTGAGAAACACCTCAAAGTGCAGTGCTCCACATCAGGCTTCATTCATGACTTCTTTTTTCTTCTAACCAGAGAATCCCTAAGCTGTATTTCCTCACTTCCCTTCTCTCAATAGGCCGTTTTCCTTTCTCACCTTCTCACATTACTGTCCTGGCATTCTCTTGCATGTGATATTTATATAGTTCTTAGCTGTAAATGGATTTCTTCTGGACCTTGATGGTCTGGGAGTTGCGTTACACTTCAAGGTGACTTTCTTTGTAGTTACAGCTGTGATCTGTGTGCTGGCAGCAGAGAAGTCCAAGCTCTACCCTGTTATTGTCATTTGATGCATTTTCCCTCTGGACTCGGGAAAAGAATTCCCTTGGAACAAATTGTTATTCTTGGCCTAAAATCATCTGACAGTTTCTGATGATCACATTGTGATCCACCTCTTTCATCCAAACACATGAAGAAATCATGTTTCCAGCTTGAAACTGTTAGTGCTTGGTTTTTGGTCTTCTGGGATTGTCAGGATCTCGCCTTTGCTTCTGAAATGAAGTCCTGATCTAATCCTGAAAAAGGAGTCCAGATTAAACTGACATGTAACTTGCTTGTAAAGCTTTCCCTTTTCACATGATAACCTGATTAGAACTGAGGCAGTGTTTTATATTACCCACATAGAAGAGATTTATGCCAGGTTCTTGCCTCATGGTGTGTTGATTCAGACTTTTGTGCAGTGTTAGTTAAATAAACATGAGTGCATCTTGATATGGTTATTTGGGCAGCTACTTGATCCTCTGTTTCAGCATTATTAATACTTCACTAGCAAGGAACCTCTTTCTAAAGACTTGGAGGCTTCATTTATTTGGATAAACATATAATATTTCACATCCTTTCCAAAGAGCAGTAAGAATGTTTTTCTTGGGAAATGTCTCATCCTCTTTCTTTATGGACTGTCCTGAATGATGAGGGAATTACGGCAAGACTCTGCAGATCAGTCTCAGTTCACTGCATAAACTTACCTGTGCTAGTGAAGAGGAAGGCTTGGTGTCCTAGGGATGTTTATTCTCTCTAGAAAAGATGGATTTGCTTTAAAGACTTCAAGTAATATAATTAAGTTGGTTTAAAGAAAGAATTTGGTTTTGTACCTTGGATAAGCGGCAGGCATTTTAATTCAGATCCTTCTGCAACACAAACATGATACTTGGAGCAGGGGAAGGATCAAAACTGCATTAACGTAATCCTGATGATGTGGAGGATAGTACAATTTGTAGCTGCTGATTTATGAGAGTACTTCTTCACATTGTGGTGTTTGATGAACTTATCTTGTCTCTCAATTTCTTTATCTGGACAATAGACCACAGTGAAGACTATTTTAGTGGCGTTACTGAAGGTGAGGAACCTGACCTATGATGCCTGAAACTTGTGAGTAATTATCATCTTTGCTAAAGTTACAACAGAACTATCCCATCGTATTTTCTCACCTATGAGAGATGAGAATCCTCTGCTCGGGGGAGTGGGATACAATAGTGGTACCGCTCCATGCAGTGGAAAAGAATTCCGCAAGATCCAGACAAACTTTGTGTGTGCGTGTTTCTTGTCCAGGCCAGTGGTATGGGTGTGCTTCCCCCATGTCCTTTTATTGCACACATTGTCAAGTTTTCAAGGCAAGGACAGGGTATTTGGAAACTGCCTGGTGTATGTGGATATTATTGGGAAGAGCAGGGAAAAAAAGGATTTCTTTTTTAGCATGAAGCAAAATCCCATTATATTTGTGTTGGAAAGTGCTGACCAAGTTGAAATATGCTTACATCCGACCTAGGGTCTGAAAGCCATCACTGGTGTTAAACCTTAAATAATGATTACATGCTGCTGAATTCAGCCTTCAGGGAAAATGACTGGGAGGTTGGGGCCTGTTGGCCCAGAACAAAGCAGAGCACAATGAAGTTTTCAACATCTTCCCCTTAGCCCTCAAGGCTCCAAATCCTGTGAAAAGGTTTGGTTTTGCTGAGTGATGGGTGTGATGATACTGCACTCACTGCTCTTAGTGCTAGCATTGGGATAAGACTGGGAAATGGAAAGGAATCAGAGTCCCGAGGATCTCCTGGGTCTCCTTCTCTGCAGTAGTAAGAAGGACAAGGAGCATTCTATTGCTCAGTGTGAGCTGCAAATGTACACATGGCTGGAGCTACAGCTATACGAATGCCCTTGGAGCATGCAAGATGTGTGGCCTTATTTTTACCTCTTGTTGTGTGCTACCTTTGACCTCCTGCATTCTCTTAGGTAAAGCAGACCTCTGATTTCCATTCTCTTCTGCTCCCTGTAGAACTGGAACACACGCTCCATTAGCTACTTTAAAAGTAGGTTAGGGGGTTGTCTGCTGCTTGAACATCAAAATAATGTTGTGACCTAGTAGGTGAAGTGGGTTTTGAGGCAATTGTGTCATTCCATGTATTTCTTGTGGAATAGATGTACTTGGTGTCATCAGCTGCTTGGATCTTCCTTCTCTGGTAGATTATCTGTTACAAGGTTAGGGCCTTGCACAGCATTGAGAATGTAGACGGGTAATAACAACTGTGATAGCGCTGTAGTGCTTATGCCACCCAGCTTTAAATGTTGCTGCTTGTTCATATTATCCTGCAATTCATTTACTTTGCTCTTTTGCTTGACTCAGAGCAGCATAGCTCTGACACAATTGTTTGCATCTCGGCCAGGGTAAGAAACAAGTATTTTCAGATGTCACCAGCCAACACAGTTCATCCAAATCTTAACACCTAGGCCCCTCACAGATCCTTCTGCTGGCAATAAGGGCAGTTCTGGATGCTGTTACCCTGCTTTGCATGCTGTGAGGGGAATGAGTGTAGAGGGTTTTTTGGACCTGAAAATGGGGTGTTGTGATGAAGATTACTGATTCCCACAGGAGTGGTGATGGCACAAGGAAAGTGCATTCATGGTAAAGACAGAACTACAGAATTTCCGCTCTCCTTTTTGTAGGTTGGAGTTACTGGGTTTTGAGCCTTCTCTTGCAATTGGGTTATTATCAATATAGGAAAAGCAACATTGAAGGTTGGACTTGATGATCTTAAATGGTCTTTTCCAGCCTAGTTGGTTCTATGAGTCTATAATTACTTTTGTCAAAACAGGTGCAGTCTGTTGCTAGCTCTTCATTTATAGACAAGTCTATAGTGAAAGAACAAGTGAATTTGTGGCGTGTCAACTCTAAATCCTTCTGCTTTAGTTCTTTTCAAAGAGCATGCAAAGGATACAAGAGAATAAAGTTCAGTGGAGGGAAAAATATACTGATGGCGTGAGGTGTCCTTTAGACATACATATGACTGTTGGCATGAAGCGTCCTTTATACATATATAAGACTGTATTAACTGCCTGATGGTTTATTTACCTTTTCTGTGATTTTAAGAGTTGGCCTGCAAGCCTCATGAGAAGTTTACTTTCACATGGAGAACTGGAGCACATGTAGTTTATAAACGTATTTCATAACATGAATTGTTGGTTCACTCCAGGTCTTTTTACTAGTAGTAGTTTTTGGCTTCAGTTTTCTTGTGGTAACAGATATGTCACTCTGAAATGACTAAGGGCATTGAATGTTGTTTCCCAGACAGTCAAGGACAAATCAAAATGCAGTATGAACAGGCACACCCAGTGTTGCATATCTGTGATCATTACATACAGGGCTTTGCTCTTGGGAACGTACTCAGAGGCAGAGTATTGTTTCCAACACCAGCACATTCTATTGTGACCAGAACTGGATGTAAATTTGTCAGTATTTCCCACTCCTAATATCTTTTAGTTAAACAGCAGTTAAACAGCAGTTAAAGGA